CGTACCTTTGCTTATTCCGGCCAAAAAGTTCAATTTTAACCTCATCGGTCCACAGAACTTGTTTCCAAAATGCCTCAGGCTTGTCTATATGTTCATTTGCAAAGTTCAAACGATGATTTTTGTGGTGAGGACATAGAAGAGGTTTTCTTCTGATGACTCTTCCATGAAGACCATATTTGTACAAGTATCTCTTTATAGTGGAATAGTGTACCACAACTCCAGTGTCTGCCAGATCTTTCTGGAGGGATCGTGCAGTCAAACGTGGGTTTTGAATTGTTTTTCTCACAATCCTGCGAGCTGTTCTGTCTGATATTTTTCTTGGTCTTCCAGATCTTGCTTTAACTTCCACTGTTCCTGATGACTGCCATTTCTTAATTACATTCCGAACAGAGGATATTGACATCTGAAAACGCTTTGCTATCTTCTTATAGCCTTCTCCAGCTTTGTGAGCGTCAACTATTTTCAGTTTCAGTTTTCTAGACAACTCCTTAGAAGAACCCATGGTGCTGATTGTTGGGGCAAGGTCAGATGAGTCTGGGCATTTAAAACCTTGGAGATTGACATCACCTGATCTTCCCAGACGATGATTGAGAACAATCCATGACACTGGCAGGTCTCAGCTTTGCAAAGGGGGCAGTGCATGCTATAAATTCTGCAGGGTGCCCAAACTTTTGCAGACGCCATTTTTTTGTTTTCTGTTATTTTGAAAGTGTAAATGATGGAAATAAAATCTAACTTTTGTTGACATATTAGAAGAATGTCTAATTTGTAATTTGATGCCTTTTGGAGATTTTTCCATCTTTCCTTGGCTTCTTTATGCACATTAATACAAATTTTTAGCTGGGGTGCCCAAACATTCGATCCCCACTGTGTGTATATATATATTATATATATATATATATATATATATATATATATATATATATATATATACATACACATACACACACATATACACATACACATACACACACACACACATATATATATTAATTTAATCACAATTTTATTATTGTATTTGCTAGTGGAGCGCGACACCATTTCTGACAGTATTCTCTATAACACAATGGTATGAGTTTGTGTGGAGTGTTAGCGAACCACATTTTTTCACAGTTTTTACACATAATTTAAATTTTTTATTTTCATTATGGTATTATTTTCACAACAGTTTTAGTATCGCTCAACATTTAATATTTAATTATTCACTAGCGCTTTGTATACACCATAGTAAACACACAAGACCCCATACTCTATCATATACATGAGCTTATCCTGGTGCAGGCATTGGGTAATAGATGATTATTGAGTTCTTGAACTATTAGAATTTCACCCTGCTCATATTATACTTGATATCAGGAAATTTTGAGAAAAAATACAGTAGCCCATAGCAAAGTAGTGCGTGAATAGTGCAATCAAATAAATCACTGAGAGTCCGTGATGACCACAAATATTATACAGCAGACAGTGAAAAATGTTAATGTCCTTTATCCAAGTGCGCAAGTGCAAATGTGTGGTTATTGATGAAGTAGTAAGAAAACATCCATGTGGAGTAAATAAATTGTAAAATCAAATACCAGGCAATGTAGCCTACATTGCTGATGTCACGCCGCCGATACCGAGGAGCGGCGGCCATCTTTGTATTTGATTTTACAATTTATTTACTCCATGTGGATGTTTTCTTACTACTGTGATTTAAACTCATCAAAAATACTGCACTATATAAGCACTTTCTGGCTCCTGTGGTTGAGCTGATTCCCCCTAGGATTAGATGACACCTGCCTTAACTGATGGATGGAGGGAGCTGCAGGAGTAAATCCGGAGCGGTCATTATACCCCCAGATGTGTGATATAAACAGATGCGCTGATTTACTTGCAGTCTGGTGAGTGTACATCCATCCGAGGTGGTGGATTCTCTTCATCAATAACCACACGTTTGCACTTGCACACTTGGATAAAGGACATTAGCAGTTTTCACTGCCTGCTGTATAATATTTGTGGTCGTCACGGACTCTCAGTGATTTATTTGATTGCACTATTCACACACTTGTTTGCACTTTATATATTTGAGTATGATAATAGATATTCATGTTTCAGGAGTTTGCAGCGCTACACGTTTAGGATATACATTTACATTGGGACAGTTACCGATACCTTAAGTGCTAGCAGCTATTTCATTTATCCGTAATTAATTTATTTACATAAAATTTTACATATAATTTTTTAGAACTTGCTTTTATACTCTTTTTATGTGAATTTATGAATATATAAATTAATACCTATACCCTACAGTACTAACGACTACTAGGTATAACACTAACTATAAGATCTCATTATCCCCTTTTATTTCTTTTCATAGCAAAGTAATGTTTGCACTGCATACGCAGGAAAATCAGAAGTACGGAATGGATACATTTTTTACAGTTGCTGCAAGCAAAAATGCTTTCCCCTCTCACATACACACATACACACACAAACACCCACTGACTATCTTTCATGGCCTACCAAATGTTCATGAACAAGAAAAAAAAAAAAAAACTGCACCTGTTATATTTAAATGTACACTCATGACTTGCGCAAATACAGCAGTTAGTGTGGTGTAGTAACCACATAAAATTGAAACAAAAAACAAAAAAAAACACAACATTATCACACAGTTTTTTTGCTGTTACTTTTTGCAGGGCCATGATAATTTATTAAAATTCTTTATTTACAGAATTCAGAGCTTACAACTATATATTAAGTTGTACAGAAGTAAACAGCATGCAAACCAAGAAGAAAATAAATAGAACAAACGGAGTACTGCATTCCCAATTTTTCAATTGAATACAAGAAAGGAAGGGAAAGAAGAAAGAGAGGTTTAAATAGGGGGTGTAAGAAAAAAAAAAAGAAAAAAAAAAACAGGAGGGAATTTGTCAGGCATACAGCATGGTGATGAAGATAATTCAGGGATGGGCAGGAAAAAAGATTTTCCTTTGTTGTAAATTTGAAAGCATCCCAGTGGAGCAATGTTTTGGTGTAGGCCTCATGTTGTTAATGAAAGGAGAGGACAAGGTCTTCCATTTCATTTAGTTCCCCACAGTGACAGGGAAGGGAGATGTATGAAGCGCTACTCACTCCCCATTTCTCACATGGGGCAACACGTAAATCCAGATATGGTGATGAAAACCATAACAAGTGCATCAGAGAGAAAAGTGCCACTGTCTCTACTAGGGAACTAAAAAAAATGTACACAACCAAAATTTGCCTCTTAATCAGTGCACGACTACCACTCAATGAACAGTTGAGTACATTTGCCAAATAACTAGGTTTGTAGAAGCATGAGATTGCAAAAGCAGGAGCAATATAATTAGTGATAAGCTTTAACACTGAAAAATCCATAAGGACACTAGGGCCAGCAGAGCTAGGCCTGGGGTCTGCAGCCATAGATCGTTTTTCCACTTTAACAAGATACATGATTTAGCAAAATTGATTAGGTGACTGATTTTTTTTTTTTTTTTTTTTTTTGTATGTTTTAGTCAGTATCTCTGAAACATGTAAGGGGATAAAAGATGGGGTTCTCAGGGAGGATATAAGTCAATTTTTCGAGACTCTCCGTACTTCCCTACAGAATTGTGTAAGCTTCGGAAAAGACAAAATATGTGCAAAATGTCTCACCTTTCTGCCTAGCACCTCCAGCAATGGTCTGATATAGAAGGGAAGAAGTTATGAAGAACTGATGCCATTTGATATGCAATGTTGTTTATAGCCTTATTGAGCTTAGACAAGAGTACATCTGAGAAAAAGTCTTATCGGGCTAATATCAGAACATACTTAGAGCTTGATGGTAAACATGAAGGGGGGGATTCAGAGTCTTATGTTAAGGAGGTGATAAATGGCCACTGGAAGAAATCTTTTAAAAAAAAAAAAAAAAAAAAAAAAGGATTCTTGGAAATATTGGGGACAGTGTTCAGAAAGAACAGTTTAATAAGCCTAGTGGAAAGCGCTGGTTCCCCAAGATGGTGTATAGGGAACGTGGGTTGGGGGGCAAAGGTGATAAGGAGAGGTTTTTAGCACATATTTTTAAAGTGGGGAAAATTGTTGGGTGCAATTGGATTGGAGAGGGAAGGTCAGAAATACATCAAGGTGCACTGCGCAGAGAGATGAAGAATTGTGACTGCTCACTTTGTGTGTGAGAGTTAAAGGTCTGTAAGCCGACACCAATCAATAAGCATGACTAGATGTTTGGCTTGATAATATATCATGGTATCAGGTGGGGCTAGGCCACCAAACCATTTGAATACCAATAAAAGGCACTGAAGCACATTGGGCTTTTACCGTCCAAAAATAAATGAGAGTATTATTTTGTTTAAAGGAAGGAATTTTGTATGTAGATAGGTAAGGTTTGGAAGAGATATGAAAATGTCAGTAGTATGGACATCTTTAGAATGTTACACCATGCAAACCAAGAAAATAGACCAGATTTGTATTTTTCAGATCATAATCGCACTGTGGAAAGGAGAGGGAGAAAGTTAAGGGGGAAAACCTGGCTCAAGTGAGGATCGATATAAGTACCCAAATATTTAGGCCTGGAAGGTGCATTTGAATTTGTAAGTATGCTGAAGGTGACCTATGTGAAACAAGGGCATAGCTATACCCATCAGATTTTGAGAAATGAATTTTCAGGTTATCCATAGTCCCATATTAGTCGAATTAGTAAATTAGAGAGTGAGATGATAGGTTTGGTAAGGGAGAACAACATATCATCTGCATAAGCAGAAACTTTAAATGGAGAGGACCCAACTGCATGCCTGACATGTTGGGGTTATGTCTATCCCTACACAGAAAAGGTTTCAGTGAGAGGGCAAAAATGAGTGGGGAAAGGAGACAGCCCTGTCTGGTTCTATTTTAAACACGGTAAGGCTCAGAAAGTACACCATTGGCTTTGACTTGGGCAGGTGGCGACGAAGGGCCATGACATTTAAGCACATAATTTTTTTTTTGTTTTTTTAATTAGAACTTACCTCAACTTCTATGGGAAATGAGTACTGTCTTTGAAGGTCGATTATATTTTCAAGTATGAGCACATTCTTAAAAGAAAAACAAATAAAACCATGATCTTAAATAAAATGTTAAACAGATTATTTTAAAATTCCCAACACCTTTATCTTTCATATAGTGTTTCTATCTTGCCCGGTGACAAATATCTTGATATGGGGAGAGGGATTGGGGGAAGAAAGGAAAAAGAAGACGACAGGTAATATTTCCGTCCATTGACTACACTAGACAGGTGTCATTAGTGAAACCGACATGTGAACACTCTAAGTACTCACTTTCACCAGGAATTGCACAGGATCACACAGCACGTTCCTGTGCGATTCGCATACGGTTCAGTCCAGTGCAATTTGAACCCCTTCATCTTGAATGGGCTCAAATCGCACTGAACCGCACCAAAAGTGATGAATGCGCTACTTTTCTCAATCCACTGCAAGTGGATCGCATGGTACTTCTGTACCAATGAGAGCCGGTAAAGGCAAACGCACTGAATTTGCGACCTGCATTTGGGGTGTTGTTAAATTAACATAGACACCTGCTGCAGACTGCATCTAAGTGCAATGCAGGAAACACGCACAGAACACGTTCTGCTATGAACTAGGCCTAAACCCATGAATGGCAAGATCTGTACTAAAAGCTGTAGAGACAAACTATATAAATTCTTTTGTGAGAATACGGAATTCTAACTTATACTGCAGATACAGATCATGAGTTCTTAATCTGGTAGAATTACTATCTTACTCAAATTACAGATGATACCAATGGGAGATCATTATAACCTATCAAAACTGAAGTAACAGAAAACTACTGAACCGGTTTTCTTTATATTTACACTGATGACATAAGTGGAGACAATACAAATTTAGGATAATTCATTGATTACCTTTTCCTTTTTTTCTGAGAGAAGAAAGCCATAGTAGAATTTGCTGTCAGTCTGAGTGCAAATCACAACTGCCACAGCACAGTTATATGCAGCACAATGATATTCTCGCCTCTTTTCCAGGAGCTGGCTTTCACCACTCATATTCTCAGTATATGCATCGTAACACAATCTTAAAAATATGATAAAGATAAGTTAATACATACTTAACACTTTGTTTTATTAAAGTTGATATGTGGCTTATTCAATCTACATAACTAGTTCCCTACTGTGCTATAGCTAAAAGACAGCAACAGCGCGATTGTCTGGTTCTGGGACAACGTCCATGGATGTCATTCCAGAATACGCCCCCTGTGCGCCTCCAGCAGCGTGCACCTGGAGCCGCCGGTGATCGCGTGATATGGTAAAGGACCGATCATGGCGGCCTTTTAGCACGTGATCAGCTGTGTCCAATGACACAGCAGATCATCATGTAAATACGGTTACCGGTTATTGGCTGCACTTTCCTCACGCTGTCATAGCGTGAGCAAAGTACTGCCGATAACCGGCAATTGTCAGAGAAGTGATCGGCACTGATCATCAGGGTATTGATGATCAGTGCCCAGCAGTGCCACCCACCTGTACCCATCAGTGCCGCCTGTAGCAAACTGGCTCATCAGAGTTGGACGCGGAGTTCCCCTTTTCTATTGGAAGTATTACTCAATCCTTCCTTCCCTACCCCCTCCCTTCCTGAGAGGCACCGGGACAGATGTGTGTTAAAGGTTGCTGGCAGGCTGGAGCCGCGGGGGGGGGGGGGGGCCCAGTGCTACAAAGCCCCCCCATGAACGGCAGACGCTCAGTCTCAAGGCCTGGGAAAGCTCACCCCTCCTAATCAAGATAAGGCAGCTTTTCCTGGACTTGAAAGAAGTCGGAACCTCATACAACCTACCAGCCAGGTGACAGAAGTTAATTGAACATTCCTCAGGTCAGCTGTCACCTATGTTTCATATCATGGATTATGAAGCTGTTAGTTTTAATGCAGCGCCCATCTGAGGATCCCGCCCAAAACAGGGTATTGGCCAGTATTCAGAGCCACCCCCCTTGCAAGGGGCTATTAAAAGACAGGCTGGCAAGCCTAAAAAGCTAAGCTAACCACATCTCCTGATCTTAACATCGTAACAGAGGAGATCAAAGACCCTTCCTGCTCTGCAACTTGGATCTGCTTACAAACCAAGGCATATTGGCAAGTAACTTAACCCTGTAACTTCCTTCCTATTATCTCTTTGCTGTACCTTTATATGTGTATATATAAATATATATCTTAGTTACATCTTTCTGTAAATATTTTATTGCACCTGTTTGACTCTTTTAGTAATAAATCTTTCTTTCTGAAAGTGCTAAACTGTTTTTAAGAGCTTACTTGCAATTCACAAATTCCTGCCTTTGAAGAGACGCTACTGTTTGTTATAATCTCTGTATAACAGGCCTGCGGACCGTGTTATATAGATCAATATTTCAATCATTATAGTGTATATTTGATAACGGGAGTTTCCCAGTCTCCGACAAAAGTGGTGGTGGCAGTAGAAGGTTAGTTCCGTAATTAACCCGAACAAGTAACAAGCGCATTCAGGCTGCAGGCACCGATTGTAGCCCAATCGCTGTGCAGGGTGCAGCTGGGTGTGGCCTTGTTGCGCACGTCACACCGCGGTTTTAGATCGACCGGTCCTTCGGTCACGAGTTTGGTGAGAAGTTCTGACGCCGCGGGCGTGACGTATTATTGTTGGTCGCGGTCGTGCGATTGTCGCATATTGGTGGCGGCGATCGTGACACCGCCCACCTGTGCCCATCAGTGCCACCCACACGTACCCATCAGTGCCACCCAGCAGTGCTACCCATCAGTGCCTCCTATCAGTGGCAGCTCATCAGTGCCTCCTAACAGTGCTGCCTACCAGTGCAGCCTCATCTCACAATGCACATCAGTGGAGGAGAAAAATTACCTGTTTACAAAATTTTATAATAGAAACAAAAGAAAAACTTTTTATTTCAAATCTTTTGCTCCTTTTTTCTTTATAGCGCAAAAAATAAAACACCCAACAGCGAGTAAATATCACCAAAAGAAAGCTCTATTTGTGTGAAAACAAACGATAAAAATTTCATATGGGTACAGTGTTGCATGAAAGTGCAATTGTCATTCAAAGTGCGACAGCGCTGAAAGCTGAAAATTGGCCTGGGCAGGAAGGGGGTATAAGTGCCAGTAGGCAAGTGGTTAAAGTTTAAGTAGTGATTGTCAATAACAGTTGTAAATCATTCTCACTTGTGAGAGCCACTGTTTTGTCAAATAAATGTATAACTGACAACTTGTTCATGGCCGCAGAGGAAACTTCCTGTCCACTATGAGCAGGTTCAATTTTAAGTCAGAACAGCGCAGCCTTTACTACACACTCATTACCCATAAGAGTGATGTTCTCTAAGCACTGAGTGGGCATTAAAAGGGACATGAGGCATGGTCAGTGTGGAACATACAGTTACTTAAAAAAAAAAAAAGTAAATTTTACATACTCACAGCCATTAGATTACAGTTAGTCAAAAGCAGATTGACAAGATTGAGTGAGTGGCCAGGAGCTCTGTCTTTTTGGCAGATACCCATGGCATGCAGATCTTTTGCAGCAAATTCTAACAACCTGGTTGTATTTTTCCAGCTACGATTATACTAGTAACTTACAAGTTATATCTTTAATAGCACTTACTTGATTAAAGTCTTGTTTAGTTGATTTCCTTCTACGTTAGACGATCCTTCAAAAGCATGATTTATTCTGGATTGCTTTGAATAAATTTCATCTCTGGAGAGGCGGGAATACAGAACTTCAAACATTTTATAATATCCCAATTTCTTGGTAAGCTGTGTCTCAAAGACAGTTTCTGATGTCTGTAAAGAGGAGCATACAAATATGGTTTTGTATTGGTGTTTTATATTACCTTAAAACTGTTGAAAAAAGTTTCACCAATACTGACCTTCATGCTGTATAGTTTAAAGCAAGGTTTAAAGTATGCATGAACTTCAAGAGAAAGTGCACTTTTCCTGTTTGCCCCTTTAAGCTGACCCAATGGATCTAATATCCCCTTCTTCAGAGATACATGCTTACCTTGACGTGTGGTGTCCAGTGATTGTCTGCATCCTGCTCCACCATTCCGCTTTCTCCTGGCCACAACTGCACACTAGAGCCCCAAACAAGTGTATGAGTTCTGTCTCTCACTCACAGACAGAGGTAGGTAGGCCCCATTGACTTTTCTGAGGTTCTACTGTGCAGGCTCAGGATGTAAATATTCCCTGAAAGCTGCAGCCATGGACTGAGGTAAGTATGCATTTCTAGAGGGAAGTGGAGTCTGTTAGAGCAGTTTAAAGGGGCAAACAGGAAAAATGCACTCTCTCTGAAAGTGCAATTTGTCTTTAAAACTAAAACTCCTGCTTAAAAGGAAGTGAAAAAGATGCATGTTATTACCTATATAGTCGGGAAAACCTTACTTTATATAAAAAGACTGAAAGGGTTGCTTTATATACATATATATGAGGATTCAGGTAAGGTTTCCAGTTTTTCTTTTAACTAATAAAAGAAACAAAAAGGATTATTCACCTTGGTAAATTTGCCTTTGAGAGTATCCACTGAGAGAGAAACGATTTTGCAGAAGAACTCTTTCAAAGCATCAAGGCTGCAGTTCCACAGGAGTGTTAGTAGGCATCTGTCAATTATAGCCTGCCTTGCTGTATTTGACAACAGATTTTCACTAGTAAACATTCTGTGCAAAGTATTCATCAGGAGTACTTGTTCATCAGAGTTACTCCTTAGGCAAAACAAAAACATTTTAAGTGCTTTTTGAAGAGGAAAACATTTTAGAATGGCGTTCTCTCAGATTTTGCTTCAAGAAAGTACACGCTCCATTGCATCTGTACATCAAACACATTGCTTTTCAGAAAACTGCAAGCAGAAGGGTAGATTACAAAAATAAACTTGGACAAAAAGCTAGAGGAAAAATGGGATGTTGTCTACAGTATCTACTGAGTCTTGTTTATTTTGAAAGGAAAAAAAAAAAAATTTTCTCTAAATTATATAGATCCCTTTTCTGGGTTTTGGTGTATGGGCATTAATTTATCCTAGTAGAAGAATTATGAACTAACCACGCAATCTTTGCTCTTATTTCAGTGGTCCATGCAAATACCTGCTGTAAGTCAGACCAAAACTTTAGCTTGTTTGCAGGGAATTATTTTTTTTTTTTTCCCCATATGGTCATAAGATCTAACATTTAGCAATCTTCCAAGTGGTAAGCAACTTATGACTATTAAGTAATTCAAGGTGTTGGATCAAAAAGCTATGAGGCTAAAAAGTTACGGTTTTGAGACCTTCATGCATCTGCATAAACAAAATGATTAAACATCCATATATGCAAAAATCATATAGCAGAATTAAAGTTTAAGAAACATTTATTAAAAAAATATGACACTTACCTCAGAATAATGGCTTTTAAACTTTTCTGAAACAATTCTTCCATTACATGCTTGCTGTCCCGACAAAAAATTTCTGCCATGATCTGCAAGAGCAGTGGACTTCGAGACAACTCCAGTGCATCTAAGAACTGAAACAGTGGACATATTTAGTACCAATTTAATTACAATAAGTGAATATATCACAATTTTTAAGCCATCCAGGGTCAAAGCTTTCAGCATACCAGAGCTAAATGTTTTTACCACTTTCTGGCCATGGGATAACACCCTTCTCATATCTCATGTTTTCATTAACTATTCACAACTTTAGTCATTTGCTAACACATGCTTCAGTCAGTTACTAAAAATCCTTCATATACTTAATACACAAATACACTATATTGTGCCTATACATATATAACCTGAGCATTTTGTATCAGGTCATGCTCTGTCACAGGACAGACTCTAAAATGTGGTATGCACATTTTTTTCTGTAGCCGTACTACTCTGGTTACATGTAATGTATTTATTTTATAACACAGAAAGTTTGGCAGCCACCTCTTACCTTCTTCACAGTGTCCACATAATTATTATACCTTAAGGTTCCCTTTGGAAACTCATCAGATCTCATTGGAAAATTAAAGGCAACAAACTGCTCAAGTGTATTTTTCAACTCATCAAGTTTTTCTTCTTTGAGGTTGGTAAAGAAAGGAAGAATTATAATAGTCTGACTCTAAAAAATATAATAGCATGAAACCATAAGCATACTATAATATTAAATATAACTAAACACTAAAAAAATACACACGTAACTGTTGAAGTTGATAGAAACAAATGTTAGTGCTATTTAAAGAATACATTAGAAACACATTTGACACGCTAAAAATGTCCTGTCCTGCATAATGTTGTACTGAACCAACATATAAATTGGAATGTGAGTCTGTTTAAAGCAAGTGAAGGCGTTGCACAAAAAAATGAAAAAAAAATGGCTGTCTGTAGCAGTCTAGTATTCATAACACTGGATGTTTAGAATCAATAAGCTACGAGATAAGCAGCAACTATATATAAAACGCCAGGAAATATGGGATCCACAATATAACAAAATGGTCCACTTGTGCATGAAATCACAAACTTTACTGGAGGTTGTGAAGAAGCCTGAACCGCCTACATGATTCATTGCCGTGGTCCCAATGAAAGAGCTGTTTGTACAGTATACTTTAAGGAGCTTGCAGGAAGTCTGGCAGTGCTCAGATTTGATGTATGGGGACACCTGGAGACCCTCAGATGACGCTGGCGTTGGACAAGAAGTGCAGAGGTCTGGCAAGAAGCCAGCTTGACTTGGGAAGCAGTGTTGGCAGAAGAGGATGTGTCCTTGCTGAGTAGTCCCAGACCTTGGCCAGTAAACCGGAAACATCTGGGTCGCCATACTGGATGTGATAGCACAGTCCTGGCACAAAGCTGGTCCGAGAGCCCAGAGTAAGGGCAATAGGCTGAGAATGTAACAGGCTGAACACCAATAGTCTCAAGAGGAGGAATATACATACAGTAGCTTAGACAACTACATGTTTTGGGGCACACCCCTTCTTCAGGTCATCTGACAGGAACAAGCACAGGATGTTACATAGGGAGCCAGGGGGATGAGACATCCAGATGGTCACATCATAATTAACCATTACAGCTCATTTGTCATAGAAGATACAATTTAAAATCCGTAACAGATACCTGGTAAAATGCAATGTCACAAGCTTATAAATAAAAATAATCCAATGGAAAATTCTTGTGTGAATACGTACTGTATGTGTATGTATTTATAAATATAGATGTAAAACAATTAAGAACAGACAAAATTAAGTCCCTAAAATACAAATAAAGATATACAGAATAATAACTTGACAGTAAATGGAATATGGACAGAGAAGAACAAAAGATAGAAAAAAAGTTGATAATTCCGACAATGATATGGATGCCAATGTCCTCGTTCAAACCATTGGCGGCTAAAGTAACCATTTTATAAATCTATTACGTTTTTTTTTTTTACAGAGTAACACAAATATCTAATTTTAAGTCAGAGAATTATGAGGAATATGTTCAATTGCTAAGTCCCTGGTCACACCGGGTACGACTTGGCATGCGATTTGCATGCCATACGACTTGCCTATCACTCGGCAAGTTGCACCCTATTGTCCGCAATTACAGTGGTCATATCGGTGAAGTTCCGACTTGGTCGGAGCCACACAGATTTCTAAAGTAGTGCATGCACAACTTTTGGTGCAATTTGCATAGACATCTGTGTCAGATGTCTTGCAAATCACACCTCAAATCGGCATGTCATTGGACTTTGAAATTGTGCAACTTCACTGTAAGTGGCACGATTTCAAAGTCGGAATTGGTGTGACCGGGGTGTAACACAGTTAAGGTTTTGTGGTCTTTATTATGATAAAGTGACGAGGAATGCTGTGTTTGTCTTTGCCCTCCTCTATTAGCCTTCTGTGTTTGTCAGTCCTCTCACATTAGGTACGTTTCAGACACCTAACATACAGTAACTTGCAAGGGTACTGTAAGACATATCCCATATATTCTGCAGAACATTTAATAAACTGTTAGATGGGAAAGAAATTGCCAGTCCTACCATTGAAGGATGACTGTCCATGTTTTATGAACTGGCATGTCAAACAGCAACGCTTACGGCATACCAACTCTAGTGTCAATGTATAGTTTGATATTACCATGTTTATTAATAGATGGACCTTTCAGTTTGCTAGGGGCTATGCAGTTTTTTTATGAGCCCATGCTCTTTTGAAAGTTACCTGTGGGACCTAAGGAAAATAAGGCCCTAACTTAGGGTCAAACTGTGCAATGTGCCAATGTCGTTTGAGGGTATTAATGATGGCTCTATAGTCATCACTGTGCCCAGTGATGAATCTAACACAGGAGCCTTCTGGAAGTTCCTTTACCTTGTTGTTAACTGCCTGTCCATCTTAAAAAAGTTGTACTGTATGTGTTGCCACTGGTTGGTATGCTGTAATTTTTGGTGATTATCAACCAATCCTCATGAACCAACTCCAGATCCAAGAAAAGTAAACTAGTAGAATCAAACACATAGGTGAAACTCTGTTGTCGTTACAATGTGAGGTAAAATCCAAAAAAGCCTCCCTGCTACCATCTCACATCATCAATATAATCTCCTTGGACGTGGACAAAAGAGAAAAATTGATCAAAGATTGCAACAAAGCATTGTTTGAATAGTGGCTAAAGAACCTCGATCAACTTCCAGAGAAATCAGGCACAGGGTACAACTGTGTCAGCTCACGCTATACGTTGTCATCTGAATGAAAAGGGACGATATGGTGGGAGACCCAGAAGGACCCCACTGCTGACACAGAAACATAAAAAAGCCAGATTGGAGTGTGCCAATACATACAGGAGGAAGCCAAAATCCTTTTGGG